CTACCATTTATCACGAGATCTGCAAAATTATGAAATTTAAAGTTAAGTACATTTAATCATAATAAAAGAGATATATAATAATTTTGGCATGAATAATAGTAATTTAAAAAAACACGAATTTCGGTAAGGAACAAATAATTTTTCAAAAATTTTTGCGAATACGGATATAATTGAAATTGGACGATAATTGTTCCTATCAGTTTGATTCCCTTTTTTTTAGGATCGGAACACTGACGCAATAGCACCTTAGGAGAAGTGAGGAGCGTCTGTTCAAAACCAGACATGTCCAACTTCGAATGAATTTCGTTTTTCGACTGTTTCCGAAAGATTTTATTGAATTAAATACGACTGTGGTAACTGAATTGATCAAAACAGATCATGTCCCTTGTAAAATGCATAGCGAAAGTAGAGCGTTTGATCAAAATCAGACATGTCCACTATTTAACTTCGCAAGTGAATACCTGATCAAAACTAGACATGTCCTTAACTTTTATAATAGCATTTGTAAATAACTGATCATGTCCTAAGTGATGCAGATTCCTTTGTATAGGTTTATTTTGCATTATTGTCGCAATATTCGTCAGTGGATGGCACCACCTATTAGCTATACGCTAAAATTAATCACCTGTTAAATTTTGTTGTGTTGTTTCACCGCTATATTAGTGCTTAAAGGAATAAATAGTGCGCTCTTCAGGTGAAGTTGTGGTTTATCTTATTGAATTTGAGTGTGTTTATCAATGGAAGAACATACTGTTGGCGAGATTAATAGTGGATCACGAAAAAAACGTGTACCTACATCCGCACGTGCTTCAAAGGCAACCATGAGGTAAGATTTTGTCATCTTTTCCGTGCAATGTTGAAAATGTTGGTTAATATTATTTAGGTACGCAGAGGCCGATCCTGATTTAAAATCATTTAAACGTCCTTGCGACCATCACACTTCCTTTTCATTTTCTCAAGACTAGTATGTGTCGAACAAAATAGGATACGTCCATATGAGCGTTTGTTCAAAACTAGACATGTCCATCATGACTGATCAAACATAGACATGTCCAATCCAAAATTTCCCTAAAATTGGGCATTTTGATGCAAAAAAATTCAATGATATCTAGAAAAGCATTTTATCGATGGCAAAAGGCCGATGCAGTATACAATTGTTTAATAAATTTTAAAAACACGGCTACAATAGTTTTTCGTGATTTTCTCAAAACTAGTTTTACTGGACATGTCTGGTTTTGAATAGACGATCCTCAAGTATTAGTTCGTGTACACGCATTAATAACTTCGTAAGGGGTAGGTACAGTGATAATTGTTTTTAGTCCAAAGCAGTCCTTGCTCTTATGATTTCTCATTTTTGAAATTGTCTCACATCATTGAAAGAAACTTCGTTAAACCGGAAAAGTGGTTTTAACTACATTGACATAAGGCATAAATTTTAAACAAAGGGTCTCTATACGCTGTTTTTTAACTAGGAAGACGGATTTAAAAACCTGATTTACACTGAAAATGTCACTAGAATCTAGTAACAAAAATAATAGACTCATTTTATACAGACATGTATTGTGTGTTGCGTGATGTATTTTTCTTTCACATTTGGATAGATTTCATTATTTATGCTTTTGGGTTATTATTTGATAGGAACTACTTTATATTATGCATGAATGAATTATAATAAATAGGTAATACATTGATAATAGGTAATAATGCTGCATACATTTTTTGACCTTTGAAACATTGTTTTGAATTGTAGTTTTAAATGTTTTATCAGTTGTAATACTACACAATCCACATTACAATTTACAACAAATGTTAAGTTATTGAACAAATTCCGAGCAATGGAATTATATTCATATTATTAAACAGCACAGTTCACTGTTTTATGTATAAGCGATTTAGACACTGTCTTCCGAAAGTTCACTAAAACTGTCACTGTCCTCCGATCCGAGTGAAATAATTAATGGTTCTATAAGTGTATGCATTAGACCATCCAATTTACACATCTTATTTTCTTCCTTAATAACGTGTTGCACACAATTCCGCCAATCGTCAGAGCTCACATTTGCAACAGCCTTATGACCACCGGAACGTTTCGAAGGGGTAACAATCCCAGTACTTCGATCTTCTTTAATTATCCGGTATACTGTTGATCGTGCAACTCCTAATATGTGTCATACTTTAATAACCAAATATATACCTACATCATTATTTACGTTACCTGTGGTAGATGTAATCTTCAACACAAGCGTAGCAAAATTCATATCCGGAGTATCAGATAACATTTGTTTATAAGTGTTTATAATAAACTGCTTTTCGGAGACTGATAAAATGACCTAAGTTTAAGCGACAACGTTTTTTCAAAGGAGACAAGCTTGCTTTACTGGTACTTGGAGTTGAATCCATCACCAATGCCAGTACACTTAGGACGCGAAATATCAACTTTAGTTCTTAAAAGAACTGTTTTACTTTGTTAAAATTTATGCAAAAGGACTGGGAACACACGAAAACTCAAAAATAAGTACAACAGTTAAGGATGAGAATCGCGATTAAATTTGACAGGTAAATCATGTCAATAGTATTTTTCCTGGGTGTAAAACGGGCGCAGCGCGAGCCAATAGAAACTAAGATTTTTTGCGGGAACTTTTAAATCCGTCTTCCTAGTTAAAAAACAGAGTATAGTTTGGTATCGAATAACTGGCAATATTACTGAAAAAAAACTATTCATTTTGTTCGGATCAATTGCGCATTTATATTTCTCTGAAACATTTTATTTATTTATTTTTTATTTCTCTTATTCTTAATAAGATTCCATGTGGCTTTAGACTTATTGTCTGCGGAGGACACGTATTTGCTGCAATTTTACTTGCCCGCAGTTTAACTTCAATCGTTTCTCTATATCGAATGGTGCGTTTTCTAGCCATAGTAACATATGGCAATGAATACTACCTCAATGTTGGAATTGACGAAAAAAATCTATAATTCGATATTTTCCGAATGGCTCTGTCAAATTCAAACCATTTATAATTGTATCAATCAATTTATCTACCTAAATATGAACAACAAATAACTGTATCAGCGTTAACTAACTCGGCTCTTGTTGTTGCATTCATAGGTCAAATATTTCTTCCGGAATGTCTGTACCACCTGGTACATTGTTTAGAAACTTATAGATATATTTTAACAATGGCAACCAATATGTTTCCGATGCACTTAAGGTAAGAGACACTGTCGGTTTCATAGAAAATAACTCTTGTTTCGAGTATAGGTACCAGTACTGAACAGAATTAGGAATATGGCGCGTGAAGGATTCATTGAATAAAAAACACTATTTTTATTCAATGGTTCCATAGTTTCTTTAGTGAACTATCGATTTTCGATGTCACTGCTAGTATCTAATATCATAGTGTAAGAATTGCTAATATTATGCAAGTTGCAAGTGTTTGCTCGACTTTAGACTATCTATAACACGAAATCTCATTATCTTTGTGGCCATGTACAAAACACGTCGATCACGTCTTCTTATCTCACTTGTAGCCATCGAATAAGCAGTGACTCGCACCATTGAATAATAAATCTTTATTCAATGCTCGCACCTTAAGGCTGCGTTAGGCTACGGCGCCATATTGAATAGTAGTTCAAAACAACCTGCACCCTTTTTCTATAAATTTCAAATTTTATGGCACTATTTGTCGAATTTCTTTTCGAATATCATAAATGTATTAGTACAGAATGCAATGATATACATTATATAAGAAATATTTTTAGTAGTAAAAAGAAAATCGACAATAACATGAATTTTTTTTTCATGGCGTAGAGAGTTGTTATTATTTTAATACATTTACCATCACCCAGAAAGCTTTGAGTTTAAAAATAAGCGGTAGAAACTGTATACTTCAGAAGATTTATAGAAAATCAGTACCACTTACTTTTCAAACAGCCATATTCATTTTTAGTTCAATACTTCTGCCGCAAGGAAAACGTGGCGCCAATGTAGGGCGTTGCAATTCAAAATATTTTATTTCGTGAATTTACTAATGTTTGTGTGATGTAAATAAAATACATTGTATTATATTATCCCATTTGGGTGACAAGTTTTCAACTAAACAGGTAGTAGTACCTACTTAGTTTCCTCAAATAGAAAGGTGAATATGTACAACGCGATCGAAATTGTACCGCTCTTATGAAACATGATTTTAGTAATCATTTGCCGCATCGCATATAAAGCTGAACCAATACTAACCATAACCTCTAAATCTAACTCTCCTGCCACCTCCCTTTCGAAACGTTTATTTCCGGTTTCCACAACCATTTGCCTACATCTTTTGGTTTTACAAAACAGTCTTTGTCAAAGCTACCAATTAGCAAGCAATAATTACAAGATTGCCGCATGCCTTTTATTGTGGAAGAAAATAAGCTGCTTTTGAAGTGCTATTTCCGTAATGGTAGTAAAGAAGAAAACACAGTTTGGACGTATTCGACTCGCCTGTGGATGGAGGAATTTCGGGAGGCCTATCCTGAACATGATGTGGACGATGAGAACTTACGTCGCCACACTCATTGTTAGTTAACCGATTTGACGATAAGGAAGTGTTGCTTCGAGAAAATCTCCTGGTCGCCCAACAGTAGCTAACGAGGCAGTAGTATTTAGATGTGTTTGCTCATCTTGAACAAAGCCCGCAAAAACCGTCATATGGCACCTGTGAGAAAATAGCGAGGAAAAGTTGCATTTCTACCCGTACAAAGTATCCATGCTACAAGAACTTCATTGGCCCGACTTTGAAAAATGCGTAACTATAGTATCAGATGGATTATCTATGAGCGCCATCAACAGGGCATGGAGAACCTTGATCTCCAAGAGAAGCCGGCAGTCGTTTGCAGCAAAGAAACGGCTTCCGGAGGATCAGTGTAGAGGTTGCAAGACGATGTGTACCAGATTCCAGCACTATTGGAACAATACAAAATGTTGTCTCTTACTGTGTACAAAAATTGGAACTATGTAAAATGACTAGAAAGTTTATTGTTAACTTTATGTACAAGCATGGTTATGCAATAAATAATGACTTTGTAAGAACTGTTATTATAATAGGTAATAGTTAATATAGACAGAATGTAATCATAACTTGTTAACTATTTCAGGCAACATCCAATCTAAATAAAAGGTAGTCAAGTTCGGCAGCATCACATCATTCCAAAACACCTCATCTTTTTGAATGATTTCAATATGTAATGGTTGTTCATCATTCACATAGACAATAAAAAAACATAAACTTTTCCTAGATATGTTTAATTGTCCCTGTATCTGAAACATTGTGTAAATAACAAAATAATAGGTTATAATATTCACCTGATAATAATAATTATGATTGCGTTTGAGTTGTAATTTTCCTGCATCATTCAATTGAAGACAAAAGCTTGGATAACTTTTTGATGACTGGGCTGCTTCTAATAATGTTTTCTTATCTTTTGCAGTTTATACTGACATTTCACCTCCACGATTGAATCCTCTCCTAGCAAACCTGAGGGATAACCATGTATAATAATTACATTAAAATATACAAGGTTAGCATACCATCAGGAGAAGCACCCAGGTATGGGTGTAGTTCATCTATAAATAATCCACTATCTACAATTTTAACATTTTTGGCAGAAGCAAATTTTTGAATAACAACTTTTTCTTGCATTTTCCCATAGTTCACGGCCTCACTGTAAAAGTTCTTGGGATGTAGAATCCGTGCCACTAGATTATGTGGTTCCTTGTTAAACCTTCTTTTACATACTTCGCCAAAATTTGATGCAGTGAGACGCCTTCTCCGTTCCATGACATATCTATTATTGTCCCATTGCCCCCTTGTATTTTTTTCAATTTCAGCTATGTCTTCTTGGGACACCTAAGTTACAGCCACAAGAATAAAAAGTATAGACCCAGAAATATAAAATAAACAAACCTGTAGGCTTCTTAAAATTCTCAATTTTTCGGAATTAACTTCTTCCTCATTTTTTTGATGTTGAGTGGCATTTGCTCCATAATCTATTGCAGATTGTGTTTCTGTTTTTCTACATTTAAGTAGTGGCAAGTCCAATTTAAGTTTGCGCTTGACTGGTCCAGCATTCTGTTGTCGTACTTTTCGGTTTGCTTCCTGGTGCTTCAACCGCCCTATATGGTTTTTGAAATGTTCTCCTGGACTGCTACTCGTTATGGCTTTCCAACTTTCCTCCTGCCAACCAATCCCATTATTGTACCTTAACCCGGACAGATTAGCTCTTGTCTCAAACGATCCTCTTTGATTTAAATTTAATCGTTTTCCAGCATTAAATTTGCATAAAATCGACATATAAAGCTCTGCTCTATTATTGGTTTCATTGTCGATTAATTGATGTCCTTTAGCGACTAGACGATCCAAGGCACCTTCCAAAATAAAATTAGGTATAGGTATGTAATTTAGAATGAGATCACACTTACCATATATGTGATGATAGACGCCAGTATTTTTTAAGTCAACGACTTTACTGTTTTCCACACATCCTCGAGTTTCGCAGTAGCTTTCCTTGCAAGAGGAGTGATCCCCATATACATGTTTTGGTCCATTCATAAGGTCTGTTTTTAAATCTTCGACGAGACCATGAGCATTTTCATATAAAACCTTCATGGCAATTTCTTGAAGAGCCTTGATGTTTTTCACTGTTAAGAACTTTCTAGCTTGCAATGCTATGGCAGTATCGTTTTTTATTTTATACAAAGCCTTCCCGTAATTTTTCACAGCATGATTACTGCAATGTATTTTTTCTACTTCATTGCCATACGTAACTTTTTGTTTTATTTTAGCAAAAACGGACGAATCACCATCTGCTATAAACTTTAAATATTTAATTTTGTGCATAGAAATGCTGTGATTGAACCCTTCGACAATAATATCAGATTCCATCGCCCCCGATGATGCCGTCCAGTTTTTGTAACAGATGTGTTCTTTAATTTCATCTTCCTTCTTAGCTCTTGCACATACTGAGCAATATTTATTTCTCACGCCCAAGAATAAAATTTTACCAGTTGCTTTCCCAATTATTACAGCCTATAAATGACAAACGGTTTACATAGAAATAAAATACGGTACATAGTGTTTTTTACTTACGACTCCTGACGAAGCATTGTAACTATGCCCATAAGACCGTTGACTCCAGCCGCAATCTGTGTACACGACAACCCATGCCAAACCATTTTCGTCCACTTGTCCTTTTGAAATAGCTATATCATACTCCTCTATGCCTGCTTTTTCAATAGAAATCCACAGACGATCTTCCCACTCTTTGCTTAAAAAGCATTCAATTTTTTGGAACATACTATAGGTCAATGGAGGAATATTCATAATTGCTAGACGTTCCTGCAAGTTACTGAAAGTATTTCCAGCAGAAATGGTTGACCACACAGCTGCCGTATTAATGTTTTGAACTGCGTAATTTCTTCCAGGATGTGTGCACCGCTTTATTTCAAAACCGCAATAATTGCATTTAAAGGTTATTGTGCTAACCAAGCCGTTTCTCTCTTCTAGTATCGGTTCCAATTGACCTCCGGTACATTTCTTTGAATGGTCAACTTGTAAATGCAATGCCTAATTTAAAACGTGTTGCAAATCAACAATTCTATGTCCTGTTATTATAGAAGGTTTAGGATGAATCTCGACCTCCATTTCATGCAACAAAACACTAAAACAGAAATTTGATTAGATCTAGCTCTTATCGTAGTTTAAAATATTACTCATCATACTCTTCTTTATCTATAAATGAGAATTCATGAAGCACCTCTAGCGAGTCAGATTCTGGGTGAGCTTGAATTGTCTCAGTACCTGGTGTTGCTTCCAACGACAAATCTTGTGGCGACTTATTTCCTAACCCATTACCATCATAATCATGATCAAGGGCCACACTTCTAAATAAAAAAATTTAGTGAAATTATACAATTCCGGAAAAACGTTCTTACTTTGACTGTACATCAATATCATGTGATGTAGGATTTGCAACCGGATTGGGAGGCTCAATTGAAATTCTTGAGTTCACATCCTTATGAAAATAGTTGTGATCATGATGAACATTTTCCCTAAAAACAAAAAGTAATTTTGCTTTCATAACATAACCTAACCTCTAAATTCAACAGCTGACATTCCACATTCAAAGAAAAAAGTACGCATTACAAAGCACGCACTTTACTCTGTGGAATAACCGAAGATAGAACTAACTACTATCTCCTTTTTTCTTCGGCATAATATTCGTTGTAGTATATAGTCTAGCATTCAAGAAAGAATTCGAATACGTCACCCATGAAGTTCACGAAGCAGAGTAAGTATTGTGTATCTCTGTCTTATGCTTTCAATCCAACAAAGAAGTAATGATTCTGGGTTGTAATAACTTGATAAAATGTGTTATGACGTAAACGACTTCTTTCCTCAATACTACCATAGCATTGATTATATACTACGAAGTATATAAGTAAACGTATATAATCAATGACCATAGTTAGAGATACAAACCAGTACTTACAATGAACCTCATTGTGAATATGGTTTCATATCACTAAAGAAAACCAATGATCTCACCTATACTCCTCTCTTTTTTCTTCTTTAAGTTTGTTTCTGTTTTGCCATTCTCGCTTTCTTGCCTTAGATTTCTTGTTTCTTTTATTAAATTTGTAAGAAAGACGTCCTTTACCCATAATTGGTGGTTACAATAAAAAATTAAGTAATAATGTTCCGAACGTATTCAAAAAATTATTAGGTAGGTACACAAATTACAATACACCACTCACACTGCACAGTGAATCTGCGAATGAAACAAAAATGCCATTCAAAATGCAAGGTCGGATAAATGTGTGCCCAGAGGGTAATTCATTACGTATTAGAAAGCTAATTAGGTACATCAATGAATCATTAACAAAATAAATATAATTCTCCTCGCCAACGCCATCTATTATTTTAAAAATAGTTATTTTTCAGATTAATTACAATTTTTACCGCCGAGGGCCAAGAACGCAGCCTTAGGTTGGCCGAAATAAATCATAGGAAAAAACATTTCTTCGGCGTCTGCATCGAATGATAAAGCGATTGGTCGAGTATGCTGTCCCGGGGGCTTATTTCTGAACCCGATCCTTATTCAGCACACCGCTTTGCTGAATAGAGCCGAAATCATTATTTCACGTTTCCCAACTCAATTCAGAATCGGTGCTGAACTTGGTTGAGATATGGTATTTGATTGCGACCGCAGATCCAGGAATTTAGTTTAAAAATTGTGTGATTAAGACTCAAATGAGTACAGTGGAGATCAGAATAGTTTCAATTAAACATTAATTTCATTTAAAAAGATTTGCCTGTTAAATTCTATAACTAATCCGTACTGATTAATTGTTCATATTTATTTTACATACTGATTTCTCACAATGATTAATATTTGATGAACAACTTGTATGAAGTATGTTATTCGCGTATGGTATGGTACATATAGGTACTCAGTGCACAATCCCAAGAAAAATAAGTCACGTCACCAAATGACGACTCAGGTTATTTGAGTTCCGAAACCCCATCTAATTCAGCAAGGCGCGCTCAATCGAGTTGGGAAACGGGCATAGGTACGTAAAGGATGCGAGTTTGTGGGTGTTCGGCTTTATTCGGCGAAGAGGTGCGCTGAATAAGGATGGGGTTCGGAAATTCGCCGCCAGGTATAAGTACAGATAGAATGCAGATAAAGAGCAGGTGATATGCACCGCATATTTGTTAGCTGAAGTAATATAAAAAACGATGTTCACGTCCTTCGAGTAATTATTATGTTCAGTAAGATCTAAAGTAAGGGGCCTATGGAAAAAATTTCTAAAGGAATTCCTTTCTGAGATAAGGGGTGGCAGGAATCGAAGGGAGTGACTTGGTCCGACGTGGGGGGCCGTTTATGATCCTGAAAAAGTGTCTAGTTGAGAATTTTTACCTCTGAATATCACAAAGCTGTCGTCCACATATCAAACGATATCGAACGGATGTTTAGTACTGTCGCCCTTGAATTGTTTTTTAGGTTAAGTGCATACATGCTCGTAGAAATGTACCGTGTGTATAATTAATTCCCCGATTAGCGGTTTAATAAGACGTAATTTGTAAAACCGGTTGATATTAGCAATCTTAAGTGTTTAATGACTTAACTGTCAGTTATTCCGATAAAAACTCGTACTTGAGAAAGTGGTGTACGCAGTAAATATCCAATGGCAATATATTTAATGACATATTAACTAATAAGTCGTAGTTTTTAGGGCATGTTGGGAGGCGCTATTATGGTCACTTTCTCCGGCCATTCGTCCGAGGCCTTTACTCCTACAGTTTTCATGATACAAGGTTCGTTCTTTTTGCATTCGGTAGCTAATAATTCGGCAGTTCTAATTTATAGATTTTTTTTAAATTTTAACCACAGATGCTTCTAGTAAAGACAATCATATCGCATATTGTAAAAATCAGATGTGCGCATGCGCAAACCACACAATGTCAACTTGGTTATTCATGGAAGTATTTCTTTGAGATTTTAACCATAAATGATTCTAGTAAAGACAAACATATCGCATGCTGTAAAAATAAGACATGCGCACTGCGCAATATCAACTTTTTTATTTAAAGATATATTTTTTGAAATTTTAACCACAGATTCTTGTAGTAAAGGCAAACATATCAAATGTTTTAAACATGTGTACGCCTGATTTATAAGAATATGTATGCCATAACTTATTTTCCTTTGCACACATAAATAGTCCGGTATAAGACCTTTCAGGAAGTACTGATTTATTCATGGAAAATGCGCTAAAGTTGCTCGCCTTAAGGCGAAAACGTTTTTTCATTTTTTGTACTTCTTACTACTACTACTCCACGCCCGACACAGATAAAGTACACGAAACCTCAGAGTAAACAACAGCTGAGACTCTCTATCGTATGGTACGTTCCCCAAGTATTATGATCATTGATGAATTATATTTCTGTCTTGTGCCTCTTGGTACTAAATGTAAGGGTGGTGATTTTTTCACACTTTGTTTTGGCATTGCGTAATACTTCTCTAATAGATAGCAGTTCCAAAATCTTGCAATAAAAGGACAATATATGAATTATGCATGACTTCAACCCATTATAACAATCGCCGATACCATTGACCTTTTTAATGTTCTGCGTTCGGTATCTTACTGGAAATTCATTGTGGTCACACTGTCACGTTTGTTTAAATAGTCCACGCCGTACCATATACTGCGTATATCTAGCTTCATTAATAATTTTGTTATAAGTTTGGTTTTCATACAAATGTATGAAGAAATTCTTAAACCTGCAAATAAGCTAAAGTCCAACCCTGCTGCATTGGGTATACTATTACGCATTTTTGTGAACAAAATAATTTTTAATACCAAGAATCGAACCCAAGCTACCTGGGTGCGAACCGGATATCCTTGTCACTAGAGCATCATGGCATACATTGCATCGTGACTGAACTGAGTTCGCATTTCAAGATAGTTGGGGGAGATTTCAAATATGTCGTTTCGTTTCGCATGCAGTGTGTGGTACGGCGTGAACAACTTAGATTAAAATCACACTGTATACAGTGACTATACTGTTTGGTATCCGTACTATACGTTTTACAAATACTCATATTCAAGGTACGTAATATTGATGACATTTAGCCAACACATTTGCCGCCGCGTTGGCAGATGGTACGAATTCACGTAAACTCGCGATGTCGTCGGCGTATGATACTACTAGGTAACTTTTATGAGTCAAGAGTACATCCTTCCTCTGACATAATAATTTTTTCCAGGAAAAGCTTCTTGAGAACTCTCCAGAGCTTCCTTGGAATTGTAAAAGTATTATTATAATGGTCACAATCATTTACATTTTATTAAAGAACCTAGTTTTTGAAGTTATTGGGTTACCTTGAAGTTCTTTTTGTCTACCTCCTGTGTGCCTGAGATCCTTACTATCCTACCCGAAGGCTTAAATGACCCCTAACTTTATCTCCCTTTGTTACCGAGGGCCAAAGTTCTGAATCCTTTCTCGAAATAAAATAACCTTTTTTTTGACAGATGTTAAATTGGCATTTTAATAAGTTTCAATGAGTAGGCTATGCCGCTCTTTAACGGCAAGGGTAGATAAAATGAAACAGATAATTCTGCATTTTAATGACATCTGTCATTCTTATTTCAAATGGGACGCGGATCACGATATAAAATGACGGTCAGAACATTAACTATGAAAACGACCGCGACGGCAAAACCCAAGCTTGCTATTTTCGACGTCTAAATTAAATTCAGAATTGTCAGAAGGTTTACAATGATTTATATGACCTCTACTATAAAATAAAGTTTTTTATTATACACGACGATAAAGGGAAACTATTTCGTGAAAGTTAAAATATCCCTATATCGCCTTATATAATAAATAACTTTTAACGTCCGATTATGTACAGAAACTAAAGCTCCACATAAAACTTGTATAAAGGAGTTGTAGGCAATGCAATAGCCACAACTTATCGGGAAATTTGCAATAAAGTATGAAACTGATTAGATTTCATTGACTTAAAAAAGATTTAGGAGATGCAATAAGATGAGAGCAAATAGAGAACAAATAAATAACTTAATTAATATGCAAATGGGGGCAAAATCTTATTAAGCGGGGATTACCATTACATTATTACATTAAACGTTATTGAACTTAATCCAAGAATAACACATACAGCATTCGCTTCCTATTGGGTGACCTTTATTGCGAATAGCTAAACCGAGCAAAGAAGGTAAATACTAAAAAATGTCTTTGTCTCTCAAATCTAAGCGAGCAATATACCGAAGAAAATAAAAAGTCAGCTCCAACCGTAAATAAAACTTCGCTCGCAGCGAGAATAACAAACATCAAAGTTTATAAGTAGATAAATACCCACACCGACAGAAAATATATACGCACATGTAGCATCTTGTTCATGTACTAGTACGTGATGCAATATTAAGTTTGACAACCAACAAATAACATGATTAGTGCACATACGCGAACACAGTTCTTTCAAATATGCCTCTTTAGTGTGCGTTTCGCATATCAATTAATTTTGTATAAATAGCAATCGATAGTTATACGCTATAGCAATTTTTTAGGTCTCGCACTTAATATAGTCAAAGGGAACGGGAACAAATCGTCACTTCTCAATATTTAATACGCTACATTTACAATTTTTGGTGCTTTAAAAAATAAAATAGGTTCTTTGCATGTGGGAGGTATCGCCCACATAAATTTGAAATTTTAATAAATGGTGAGAAGTTTATTGGAATTTTTTACAGCCACCTGCTTTTAACCATGCCAGATTCTGCACTTTCCGCCTCTATTGCAGCCGTGACACACTTAGACAGATGCTTAGTTACGGTCAGCTCCGAATCTGACACCTGAATATTGGCCACACTGGGCCTCGCTGCAGCGACTTGTT